GCCCGCGGCCCGCGCCTCCCCCGGGAGCTGCCCTTCCTCTCCACCCCGCGCTGGCTACTCGCCGGGTGGCTGCGCGCGCCCGGCGACCGGAATCCGGAGGCTTCTCACGCCCGGCCGGCATCCTCTCCGGCGCGCCTCCTATTCTGGGCCCGGGACCTCCCCTCCCCCGCGTCGTCCTCGCCAGAAACGTCCCCCGCGGTCTAGCTCTCAACTCCTCCCCTCCGGAATCAGCGCTTTCCCACGCCACCTAACCCCACGGGGGACAACCGCCGCCCAGCTCCGCTCCTCTCCGCAGTGGGAGCCGGCCGGGGCCACCCCGACCACGGCAGCCCCGCTACGCTCGCTCCTCCGAGCACCACCTCCCGCGTCTCCGCAGCCGTCGCCCCACCCCTAGGCTCCGGAGTTTGGGGTCCGACCCCAGCTCCGCCCACAGCGCCCGGGTGGGAAGGGCCTGGCTCTTGGGCCCGGGGTTGGCTGTTCCGGCCTGCACGCCCCTCCCCCAGAATCCCGGAGCCTGGGTCGGCGCGCTGGCTAGCTGCTGTTGGGGTAAACGGGTGCGGGCTTGGGGTACAGCAAATCCCCGGGGCATCGGGGTGCCCGGTGAGGCGAGGGAAGCCCATCTTTATTCAAGAGGTGGAGGGAACCTCCATCCCAAGACTGTAAATCTGATAGGCACTGGCCGACTTGGAGAAGAGTGTTTGCCTTTTACTGTACGGTGGGAGAACCTTGCCCTCTCCAAGGTGAGGGGCGTGAGGACTGTTTGGCTCTGACCTGAGGGAGGGGGGAACCAGTAGGAATGGTTACAGGGCTGAGCGCCATCTCTGCACTAGATCCTATTAGCAGCACGATCCATTCTGCTAGCAAGAGGGAGGTCTTTTATAATTACCCTCGCTCGTGGGGAATTCTCTTTCTCTCCAAGTCCAACTGCGCCCCTAACTCTGCGCCTCCTTTTGTGCTTTCATTCCCACCCCCCAGCTGCAGAACTGGGCACTGAGTGTCAGGATCCGCTTCACACTCTCCTGAGTTGTGTTCCAGGGGGTTGGCGGGGCACCGCGGGAAGGTGAGGGCTGTCAGAAGTGGTGCTTGGGTTGGATGCTAGGCGTGTCTGGAGGCGGAGAAGGAAGGAAGCAGAGCGAGGACTGGTAGGACGCCCCTTTCGCCTTCCTCCTCCTGGTCCCTGCCATCTGTCTGCGGAGTGGAGCCAGCGCTGTGGCTGCCGACCCCACAGTCGGGGAAGTGCGGCAGGAGAGGAGGGTTAGAAAGGGGAGCAGGTGCTAATTCCTCCCTCCTCGTTCTCTTTTTCTCCTCCCCTGACCTGGCTTGGAGGAATCTGCTTCCTAGACACTCTTGCCATAAATTACTGATAAAATGACCCTTTCCCCCTTCCCCTTTCTAGTAGCTTCTTAAAGGGAGGTGAGTAGGTCATTGGCCACATCTGATGGGATTGAGAAATACTTAGGGACACATGGGTGAGTCTGCCCTCTGCCGTCTGGTCGGGAGGGAGAAGCACAGCTGCTACTTGGGGTGGCGTCTGGGAAGAAGTAAACACCCAGCTGTCGGGCGTCTTGGCTGCTGACCGCCACCCTTCAGAACGCCAGGAAGATCCCTGATTAAGTGAGATAAGGCAGGGTCTCATTCAGGGATGAGGGTGATTGTAGCCTCCGGTACCAGATGGGAAAAACGGGATCCTGGCCCTTTTTCTTTTCTAATCCCAGGTGGTCCTCTCCTATCTAGTACCTCTTCCCAGCCTCTCCCGGTAGGGACAGTCCTAGAGGTTGCCCTGGAGACTAGGCCTGGGGCTCGGAAGGGGTGGGGGCAGTCAGTGTGCACAGGAGTAACCGGCTCTTCCGGAGCGGAGAGAAGCCGCAGAGGGTGTGTGTGGGTGTGTGGTGCGGAGCGGAGCGGAGGGGCGTGCCCACACCCGTCTGACCGGCGTGGCTCCTCCCTTGCTGGCCCAGTCTCCGACCGGCTAGCCCTGCGTTTGGCGGCGGGAGGTAGGGAGATTCTCCCTCATCTGCCCTGGGAACGCAAAGAGGAAGAAGAGGGATATCAGCTCTCCCCCTCACCTTCCGCCGTCTCCCCCACCTTCTACCCTCTACTCTTCAAGTGTCAGTGCCACACGCTGAGCCCCTGCCTTTATTTATTTATTTTGGAGGTAGGCATTTCTTAGCAAAGCTTTTTGGATCCCTCCTTTCTCCAGGAGGGACTTTTCTCCCTTGAGTATCCACTATTTCACTACAGACTTGAGTTCAGCAGGATACTGGGGGGGGGGGCAGGGTGTCTTTTCTTTTTCTCAGGGTGACCTATAAGTCTGTTTGACAGGGAAAAGGATTTTGGTTTCTACCTGTCTACTTCTGCCCCTAGTAATGTACTAGTCTTCCTTGGCTCACACATTTTGTGAGGCTTTGCTAAAGCAAGCTTCCTTCTTAGACTCTGTGCGTAGCGGAGGGTGGGGTGGGCGGAGTCACTCAGAGCCCACCCCTCTGTGGAGTAAGGGAATCCAATCTAGAACTGATGGATTTGCTCCCAACTTGTCTGGTCTTCACCTGGTTTTCAGGTCTGTTTCCTCCTTAAACGCCCTCAGGTAAAGGTATTTGTTGACGTCTCCCAGCCTGCCAGCGTTTGACCATTCCCACTCTTGCCCTTCCAAGACATTCAGCACGAACTCTGCACATTTTAGGCAATTGCATTGCATTGCATTGAATTGAATAAGAATTATCTTAAAGCCTGAAAAATGTTCAATTGTAAGGAAATGAAACTTGGTTTTCTTTCTAGTCATATTTTACCCACTGCTTGACCTTCAGCAACTCAGTGAACCTCTCTGGGCCTTAATTTCTTCACCTGACAAAGGAGAGAAAGTTGAACTAAAAATTTAATGCTAACATCATATGACACTATCTCCTATCCTGTGGCCCTCAATAGACACTTTAGGTAACAGCCAACCAATTTGCTAGATTTTACTTTCCTATTTCCAGAAGATTTCACAAAGTTATGCAATCTCGCCGGACGTGGTGGCGCACGCCTGTAATCCCAGCACTTGGGAGGCTGAGGCAGGAAGATCATTGCGAGTTCGAGACCAGCCTGGGCTACAAAGTGAGCTCAAGGCCAGCCTGAACTGCTTAACAAGACCCTGTCTCTAAAAGAAAAACAAAAAACAAAGTTGTGCAATCTTGCCAGAAAAAAATACTGGAACTATAATAAGTAGACCTTATTTATTGGTCAGTTTTCTGCCTATCTGCTACCGTTCAGAGGGCATTTAGGCTAGAATCAGTTTCTGTTGTCTGGTTCCAGAACCAAGCGTCTTTTCCCTACTCACAGGAATCTTTCTGAAGGCCAGGGCCTTGCAGCAGTCACCAGGAAAGTGGTGATCCAGACAGGACCAGGCTGCCCTGACGGGACAGAGGTGAGTGGGCGGTGGACTCTTGCTCTCTCCAACCCTTTGCACAGCGCCCTAACTAACCTTTCCACTTCCATTCTTCCACTACCCTGCCTGGGAAATAAACTCCCCCTGAAATGGTCATCCATCCTCCTCCCTCAAGTTAGCACGTGCCTCTGGTGCTAGAACTGTGGCCTAGACTTTTAGGTTAATCTTAGGACGATGGCTCACCTTCCAGTTTGCTGGTGTGAAGCAAGACGACAGCGCTCAAAGAGATTTGGCTGCCAAGAGAGCTGGCCAGGGGGCCTGGGCGGTGGCACTCTCGGGGCGCTAGGACCCAGATCCTGGTCTGCACGCCGAGCGTGCGGGCGCTAGGACCCGGCAGCCCCGGCCGAGGAGGGCGGCTCTCGCGGCCGCAGCTTCCCCGCCCCCTCCGGCTTCGACTCACTCCGCCCCCGCCGGCCATGTTGGCTCCGCTCGGGCCCCGCGGTTGAGCCGCGTCCCCCGTCCCCCTCCCGCACCCCGGACCCCGGACCCCCTCCCCCGCGGGCGTCTCCTCCCCTCCCGGCGCCCGCTGCTCGGCCATGTGAACCGCCCGCCCCCGGGGAGACGCGAGCCCCGAGCCGGAGACGCCGCCTCCCCAGGTCTGTGGGGTCTGTGGCCGGGAGTGTGAGGAGAGGAACCCCGCTGCCTCCCGCGGCTGCCCTCTGGGCCGAGGGTCCGGGGCTGCCTGGAGCCCTCGCGGGGCGCGACGCTGAGGGGACTTGTTTGCGGCGCGGGGTGTCCCCGCCTCGGGTCCGGCGGC